CTGCAATTTTATTTTTTTTTTCTCTTAAAAGCAGAGGGCAATGACATGAACAGCTCTCAGGAAACCGTGCAATATTATAATGCTTCCTTGGGAGACACTTTGTGCCAGTATTGCTCTGACTCTCCTGAAAGGCTAATTCTGCCCTGGCACTGCCCAGGTTAAGGAAGAGAAAAACAAATATGTGAAAGCCAGCTGTTCCCCTCAAAATCCCAGGTGCAGCAAGTCCCACTCTGCCTTTGGTCTTTTTCTCTGTTTGGTAGTATTTTCTCCAATGTACCCTAAGGTTGTGATCACTGGACTTTCTAAAGAGGAAATCAATGGTCATAGATTTACAATTCTTCAAGTTTTTAGAACTGAATTACATTTCAATGAAATTCATCCTCTGTAGGGAGCCGACAAAAAGCAAGTTCGGCCTATTAGTGTGACCCACAGTTCCCACTGAAGTCAGAGAGACTCTGGGAATAGAAAGAATAAAGTGTCTGTAACCAATGGGTCTAGTGATATTTCTACAATAAGAACCTGAAGGATTAAATCTAGGTCAAAACTGAAATGAGAGCATTTGGGGTACTGGATGGCAGCAGCAATAGTCATTGTAAGCCCAGCTGATCTTCCCCAGAGAATAATTTGACCTTCAATTTTTGCAGTCATATATAGAGGTAGAAAAATAAAAGAATCAAATAAGTTAAAGAAAGCAAAGACATTATCCAAAGGGATAATTGTTTGTGCTGTTCCTCCAGCACAGGGGAACAGCACGTGGGAAGGACTGAAGAGCTGCACTCGATACTTTTGTCAATTCCCTCATCTGCTTTTAACAGTGTGAAATGCTGATTTGATTGTGCAGGTGGTGAAAAATATGGCTAGAGGGATGCAGGGACAAATCCTCACCACGGTGCATGGCAACCCCAGAGCCAGGTACACTTGTACGTCGTGCTGTGCTTTTGCTTGCACTCGAGCCCCACAGAGATCCCCTTCGCCTCCTCCCTGCTGGAGCTGAGAGCCCAAGTGGGAGGAGGGATATCAGGCGGCAGCACAGAGCCCTGTGCCTGGGGGATCCCTTGGCAGTCTCCAACATTCCAGCTGAGGTGCAAGAGAAATCAGCTTGAGAAAGGATTAGTCCTTGCTCCACTTTCCCAGAGCCATGCAGGGACAGCAGTAGGGTTACTCAGACTGCAGCTCTAGTGCTTGGGAAGGGCTGTCTTTAGGGAATGCCCTGGGATTTACTCAACTGGAGGTGGCCAAGTCCTGGTTCTCCCTTCCCACCTTCAGGAGTACTAATTGGAACTTGAAGTAACAGAGTGTATTAAATCCATTAAAATGGCATAATAGGCTATTCCTGGCCAAAAGTGGCACAATAAGGCCTGCTGTGTCTCTGAAGATGTTTTATAAAGGGCAGAATCATGATGATTCAAGAATCATGAATCAGAATCAAGGCTGCTTGTGGTGACAGAGCTATAATCTGCAGCCAGGAGTTGCAGCGCAGGATGTTGCCTGTGGGTTCTTGCAAAAAGCAGACCAATTACCCTTTGACTTTAGTGCACCAAGTCAAGAGTTTCTTAGTCGTAAAAATGAGAGCTTAAAGAAAAATTATATTTTAGGGTCAAGTCTAGTCCACCTCTGAACAAAAGGACAACAAATCACTGCCAAAAGTGAGCAGTGCTCTGCAACAATACCCCATGCTTTATTCTTTTCAGTCTCTGCTTTATTTTCCTATTTGAAAAGGATGATGGTTAGAAGCCTATCTGAAAGCTGAGGTTACAAGCAAGCAATAGTAGGCTTGTACTGCCATCCAAAATATCACTGCCTTAGTGAGAGCTTAAATTTCCTTGGCCTCATGGAACTTCAAGTCTATCTTGAAAAATGTAGGGTGAATAAACTTGGGTAGGAGATTCATATTGATGTCAGTAATTCATGATAATGTTGGTCCTGTCTAGAACCACACCTGCAAAGGCATGTAGGGTGAATATACTGCCCCTGTGACGGGATTCAGTGGGCAGCAGCAAGGGCTGGGTTCAAATTTAATGCTGCTTGGAGTCCCCACCCAGAAACCTGCAAAAATTTTGTGCCTCTTGGTGCTCAAGAAGCTAATTTTCCCCAACAGCAGGTATGAATCACATAGGTAACAATTGTTCATTAAGGGAGAAAAGTGAGAAGGTAGATAAGGAAGATGACAATAACTAATTCTTACAGTGCAACTATCCAAATAATCGTTTATATCTTCCCCACTGGAGGGAAAGTAAATGTTTGCTCTCCCGCTCCTGCAGTGACCTGCCCTAAGTAGAAGCCTTGCTAGACACCGAGGCCTGACTTAAGCAAAGGTATCTCTGTTGGTGCATACCGGGGTGCCTCTGCCTGCAAGCCAGTCCTGTTGGCCATGCCTAGCACCCCCCCGTCTCCCTCCGCTGCGTGCCGCCTGCTCTCCACAGCTCTCCCTCGGGCCACTCGCTTTCTTTGCCTCTCCAGGAATTAGCTTTGGTTAATTCCCACAGCTCAGACTCGGTGTCGTTATTTTGGGTTCTGGAAATTACTGTTTGTGCAGCACTATAAATTCAGGGGAAACTCTTTCACAGCTGTTTCTCTCTCAGAAAGCTTGCAAGAAAATTTTGAACCTAGTCTTGTCTTGCCTTGCCCTTTTTGGGCTCTAACATCTGCATCCCAGTCCTGGAGTCACTGCTTACTGTCACGATGATCAGCCTGGCACAGTGTTAGCTGGCCTGCACTTCTATACGCTGTAAAAGTTACTCACCTTTGTTTATCCAATGAATACAATTGATTTTTTAACAGAAATGTTTCCCAAACATGTTGACACAACACAGATAGAGCACACATGTTTCTAGCTGTCCTATGGCTCTTTTTCATTGATGTCCTCTTCTCCTCCAGCAGTCAACACAAGTGTTCCTTCTTGCTTGAGATCAAATCACTTCTCGAATTTTCAGGTGATCTGTAAAGATTTTGCATTAATTTCAGGCCTTATGCAGGATCACAAATGTATCTCTGAACTTTTTAGAACAACAATAAAGTAGTGCTCAGCTGCAAAAGTATGTGAAGTTTTCTCAAGTAACTGTCTTATTCTTAGAAATATACAAGGAAAAAATCTTATTCCACCACACTGTGAAACCATTTGGGAGAAAGCAATCCTAGCCGTGCTCTTTTTGTTTTCGATCTCTTGATTCTTGAAGGCATTTATAAAAGACCTAGAAATTTACTTAATTGCATAAAGGTGATGGAGCAGCTTATCCTGGAGGTCATCATCAAGAAAGTGGAAGAAAAGGTTATCAGGAGTAGTCAGCATGGATTCACCAAGGGGAAATCATGCCTGACCAATCTGATAGCTTTCTACGATGGCATGACTGGCTGGGTAGATGAGGGGAGAGCAGTGGATGTTGTCTACCTGGACTTCAGCAAGGCTTTCGACATAGTCTCCCATAACATCCTCCTAGGGAAGCTCAGGAATTGTGGGCTGGGTGAGTGGTCAGTGAGGTGGATTGAGAACTGGCTGAATGGCAGAGCTCAGAGGGTTGTCATCAGCAGTGCTGAGTCTAGTTGGAGGCCTGTAACTAGTGGTGTCCCCCAGGGGTCAGCACTTGGCCCAGTCTTGTTCAACTTCTTCATCAATGACCTGGATGAAGGGACAGCGTGTACCTGCAGGAAGTTAGCTGATGACATAAAACTGGGAGGAGCGGCAGATACACTAGCAGGCCGTGCTACCATTCACTGGATAGGCTGGAGAGTTGGGTGCAGAGGAACCTTATGAAGTTCAACAAGGGCAGGTGCAGGGTCCTG